AATGAAGGAAACCATAGCTAAGATCAATAAAACTAAAAGCTGGTTCTTTGAGAAGATAAACAAAATTGATACACCATTAGCCAGACTCATCAAGAAAAAGAGGGAGAAGACTCAAATCCACCGAATTAGAAGTGAAAAAGAAGTAGCAACTGACGCTGCAGAAATACAAAGGATCATGAGAGATTACTACAAGCAACTCTATGCCAATAAAATGGACAACCTGGAAGACATGGACAATTTCTTAGAAAAGCACAACCTCCCGAGACTGAACCAGGAAGAAATAGAAAATATAAACAGACCAATCACAAGCACTGAAATTGAAACTGTGATTAAAAGCCTCCCAACAAGCAAAAGCCCAGGACCAGATGGCTTCACAGGCGAATTCTATCAAACATTTAGAGCAGAGCTAACATCTATCCTTCTCAAACTCTTCCAAAATATAGCAGAGGGAGGAATACTCCCAAAGTCATTCTACAAGGCCACCATCACCCTGATACCAAAACCAGGCAAAAATGCCACAAAAAAAGAAAACTACAGGCCAATATCACTGATGAACATAGATGCAAAAATCCTCAACAAAATACTAGCAAACAGAATCCAACAGCACATTAAAAGGATCATACACCATGATCAAGTGGGGTTTATTCCAGGAATGCAAGGATTCTTCAATATATGCAAGTCAGTGTGATGCACCATATTAATGAATTGAAGGAGAAAAACCATATGATCATCTCAATAGATGTAGAAAAAGCTTTCAACAAAATTCAACACCCATTTATGATAAAAACTCTCCAGAAAGTAGCCATAGGGGAACTTACAGTCCCCTCTTAAACAGTCATGTACCACAGTGTCCATTGCAGCTCTATTTACAAAAGCCGGGACATGAAAGCAACCTAAGTGTCCACCGACAGATGAATGGATAAAGAAGATGTGGCACATAATGGAATATTACTCTGTCATACAGAGTGAAGTAAGTCAGAAAGAGAAAAACAAATACTGTATGCTAACATATATATGCGGAATCTAAAAAAAAAAAAAGTTCTGAAGAACCTAGGGGCAGGACAGGAATAAAGACGCAGACGTAAAGAATGGACTTGACAACACAGGGAGGGGCAAGGGTAAGCTGGGACGAAGTGAGAGACTGGCATGGACATGTATACACTACCAAATGTAAAACAAATAGCTAGTGGGAAGCAGCCGCATAGCACAGGGAGATCAGCTCGGTGCTTTGTGTCCACCTAGAGGGGTGGGATAGGGAGGGTGGGAGGGAGACTCAAGAGGGAGGAGATATGGGGATATATGTATATGTATAGCTGATTCACTGTTATACAGCAGAAACTAACACACCATTGAAAAGCAATTATATTCCAATAAAGATGTTAAGAAATGTATAAAGGAGTTTACAGGTCCGCTCTCCCTGGAGGCAACAGGTATTATTAGGTTTTGGGTATATGGTTATGCAAATGCAAGCAAATATCTTGGACCGCTCATTCTTCCTCCTCTTTTATAGCATGAAGAGTAGCATATTATAAACACCCTATGTATGTTTTCCACTCAGCCCTATAGCTTGAAAACTGTCATATATCAGTTATATAGTAAGCTTCCTAAATCTTTTTTTATGGATGAACAGAACAGTATTCAACTATCTGGAAGTACCACAAGTCCCCCTTTGATGAGCATGTAGGTTGTTGTTCTTTCATAGTTCAAACAATGCTATAATATACACATGTCTTTGTGGCCACATGCAAGAACAATGGCAAATCAGATTCCTAAAAATGAAATCACTGAGTCAGATGGCAGGGGCATTTCTAATTTTGATATACTTTTCTAAAATGCTCTCCAAAGGAGTTGTACCAGTTTACTCTCCAACCAGCAATATATGAAACTGCCTATTTTTCCAGAACCTCATCAACAGTTCATCAATCTTTTTGATGTTTGCTAACTGAAAGGTAAATAAATACGCCACTGCAGCTTACACTTTACATATTACAGAAATTAATCCATTGTGTATGAATTAAATGCCTGAGTCCTACTGGGAAAAAAAAGCATCCAGTTTTACTAGGCCAGCACTTTCTCTGAAATCTAATGGGGTCACAAACATCTCTCGGACCTACAAATAACAGTCTTTATTCACAATGTTCTAGATTTTCAGCTACCACATGTGCGTCTATTCTTAGTGGGAGAAGTGTTGCGCTGTGGAAGGAGCAGAGACTTTGGAATTAGAAAGACCTGGGTTCCAGGCACAGCTTTTCTACTGACTAGCTTTATGATCTTAGCAAATTACTTAACCTTTCCCAAACTCAGTCTCCTCACATGAAATATGGGGATCATAACACTGATTTTGCAAAGCTTTATCTCTGGTACATAGAAGGTACTTAACAAATAGTAGCAGCTTTCATTAGTGTTAATAATCATCAGGCCAGATTCTAAACCCCAGGGCACTTTTCACAATTGACAGGACCTGGAACAGCCCAGCCAGGGCCGAATGGCTCTTTTGTTAAGTGGCCACCCAGAGGATTCCCAACTCCTGGAAGTCACCACACCCTCCTTCCAAAGTTAGCAGGAGAGCTCACTAAAATCCCACCCAAGGCCTCTGGGTGAGGGGTGGGCTGTTTCTGTGCCAGCCTCCGCTGCTGCCAGATGATGTTTGTATTCAGCCTAAGGGCACTCTGGTCTAAGCAGAGCTTATTTCCATTTTCAGATGGGCAAGTCAGAGGCAAAACAGAGATCCTTGGGCAAAACATGAAGGACTTGCTCTCATTGGCACCAGAGCCCATCTTTCCTTTCCCAAGCACTATTTTTGATGATGTCACTAAATGCAGATTTCTAGTTTTGGCAGGAATGCCAGTGGTGCTAGGGCTTCTATCTAGGTATGTAACACTCCCTCCTCCCAAAGAACTTGAGGCTTTTTCCATTTACACATGGTCCTGTCTCATTTCATCCCCCAGGATGGCAGAAATTATGATAGTGAGGGAGGGCACTGCTGCTGATCGAATGCCCTGGCTGAACCTCAGGAAGCCACATTTCAGTTCCTCCCTGAGTGCCAACATGACCCCCATCTCTATATTCTATTATGCGGGTTTGGATCCTCTCAGGCATGGGAGCTGGAACCTCCTGGGAGAGGTCTGAGAAATTATAATTGCTTTCAGAGAATGTTCCTTTGCTCTTTCTTCCCCTTAGTCCACCTCTGTCAGTTTGAAGGAAACGCGCAAGATCTGAACCTAATTTCAAGTACTTAATTAGTACAGAAAGAAAGTGGCCTTTGCCCCACCAAGACTCCAGATCCCAGCCAATCGCAGGCAAAGTGAACATGCAGGATCTGAAGTCCCCCATCGTTAGTCTTTCACAAGGTATTAAAACGTGGGTCTGCCTCAGACACGGGCGGGCAGGGCAGGGCACAGATACCAGACTGCGTAGACGTCGACCCCTGCCAGTTACACGGCTGCCTCCTCAGAGTCGGACCCCTAGCCCTGCCGGTGAGAACCACCCTCCCCGCAACCGGAGTCCTCCAGCCAGGCCGCAAGCGTGACCTGGGGCTAGGGAAGGGTCCGCAGCTGGGCAGACTGGAAAGGACGAGAGAAAATGCCTCAGCTGACTGCGGGGCCCCATCCTGCGGGTTGCCTACATCCCCGCCACATCAAACTAGTTAGAGCGAACTTCCAGAGCCCCACAGTTCCACCAGAGGAAAGCAATGCCCACATGAGACACAAGAACACGGGTGGTGTAAATAGTCATGGGGCACTGACAGAGAAGACAGCTCTCCACCCCTGCCCTCCTTCGCTGCCTTCGGAGGCGCAGAGCAGCGAGGAAGCCCCCCTGCAGGCGGTCTCCCGGGCGCCGCGCTGGGCACTCCACCCGCCCATCCCAGCCAGACTCCGAGTGAAGGGGACTCGAGCAGCAGAATGCGGGTTTCACCCCGACACTGCTTTCCACTTACCTCCCGATCTCTCTACCCCGGCCAAACCCTCCTCCGGGCCGCTTAGCGGAGCTTCGATGTGGCCGGCGCCTCGAGACAAGCCCGCCGCGCCCGCCCTTCAGCGCACGGCCCTGGGGGATGGGGTGCGGAACGCCCGCCCCGGGGCCTCAGGAGGAAGCGGACAGCGGCCCAGGTGAGAGTCCGGTTTCTCTGTCCCTGAGGAAGACGGTCAGCCCCCGGCGGTCCTGGACCTGAGAGGCCGACCCGGCGCTGCGAACGCACCTCCGCCCGCCTTATTTTGTAAAACTTCAGGAAAACTACCAGCACACCCAGCCCAGATTGCAAGGCTGGCCCGGGGCGCCCGCGCGCTCTGATCCACCCCGCCGCACAGTCCGACCGCTCCCACCCACCCCGGGTCAGCAGCCCCGGCCCGGCGCCCCGCTCACTCACTCGCGCCCGGCCAGCCCTCGCAGCCCGCCTTGTCGCGGGCCCAGGCAGCCTCATGGTCCCCGGGAGCTCGCGGGCGCCGAGGCGCAGCAGCCGCGTCCGTGTGGGGTCCCGCCGGGCGGAAGGCGCCAGGGAGCAGGTCGGTAACACTGCGCTGAGGCGGCGGCAGCAGCAGCAGCAGCGGTGCAGCCGGGGGCAGGGACCCGGCAAGGCCCGCCCCGGGGCGGGGACGGCGCGACCCGCGGCCTGGCCTTGAGGCCCAAGACGTCCACCCCTACCCCCTCGGAGCGAACGGCTCGGGGGCCGAGCAGGAGAGGCGAGCGCGGACCCAGAGCCAGCCGGGCACGGCCACGGCCAAGATAGGGGTGGGCAGAGGGCGGCGGCCCCGGGGAGCGCTTACCCGGCTGCAGAGGCGCCCTCGAAAGTACACGCTGGCCCGACACATCCCCGTCCCTGCGCGGAGGCAGGCGCCCCGCGAGGTCCTCTCCCCTCCCTCCCCTCCCTCCCCTCCCCTCCTCTCCTCTCCCCTTCTTTCCTTCATCCAGTGGTTTTTAGTGTATTCACAGAGTCCTCCCCTCCTCTCCTCTCCCCTCCCCCTCCTGGGAACCTCGGCGCGGAGCAGCGCCTTACACATTACCTCAGCTGAGCGGCTCAGCTCCGGCGGCGACTCCCGCGTTCGGTTCCCACGGGGTCTGCGCGCGTCCTTCCAGGCGGCCCCGGTTGGGGAGGCCCACGTGAGGCTCCTCCGCCCTCCCCGACGCTCAGAGGACTGGCTTTGCACCGAGCCGAGAAGCTCATCGCCCCTCCAGGTGCGGGGGCTGGGGGCAGGTGCCGAGCGTCCTGATTGGCGCTGGCCCCAGTCCTGGGAGAATCCCCTGCTACAGAGGCTGCCTGCTCCAGGGAGAAGGGAAGGGATAAAACAGCGCAGGCTGTTGCCTTCCAAAGAGGCTTCCGTTAGCTCCACTGCCTTTTTGCCTAAGAAATGTAAACTTGGAGTCGAGCGCCCTAGGAACGGTCGCGCGGGGCACTTGGCTTGCTACATACGGATTGGGTCCAGCACGGAAGCTCCCAGGAAAATGAGTCTTAAGGACCAGGGTGTGTCGCTATCCACTGGACGTTGCCTTGAGAGCCGCCTGAAAGGCTCATCTGTTTTCCTGTTGCCGGCCCGCAGTGGTCCCTGGGAGTCCAGTGACACCTGATATTTCCGCCGTCGAGGGGTACCCGGTCCTCGTGGCGGGGCAGGGAGTCAGTGTAAGATCAGAGTTGTGATGGCAAGATCTGGCAGGAAAAAGCAGGAAAGAAGAAGCAGTGCCCTTCCCCACCCCACAACACAAGAAGAAGACGTTAACGGTGCTCTAGGTTTCTTGTTAAATCATCCTCTTGTAAAGTTTTTTAAGTTGCTTATGTGCTGTACCCCAAACAATAGTTCTGACATCAGTAGTTCAGAAGATCTGCTTGAAAAACTTGACAGGATGAGGTGGAAATTCATCTTTCTGTCACTTCTAGCACTTCCAAACTTTTGGAACTTTTACCTGTTTTGGCCTGTTTATCTTTCTCCTGACCCTGCTCTCCAGTCTTGGTTCGACTGACGACTGGGGAGGAGGGAGGGATGGAGTCACCCAGGTTAATGCTCAAGGAGGGAGGGTTCTCCTCCACATCAAATGTTTTCATACCCCGGATAGTCTGGAGGATTCAAAGCAAAGGTGAATGAACTATCTATTGGAAAAACAAACAAACAAACAACAACAACAAAAAAACCCCTGAAAAACCACAGTCCCTCAGCTCAGGTCCTAGTTGTAAAGGAAGGGAGTAAGAAATTTAGTACTTGGAGCAAACTTTATTATTCCTAAAGCACTTAAAAAAAAAAAAAACAAAAAACATCCATAGGCATACCTAATCATGCCAGCAGGTTTGCCATTCCCTCAAGACTCCACTTTTTTTTCCCTCTCTCTCTTCACAAGTTTTAAATTTTGACCTCAGATTTTCCTGTGCTGCCTTTTCTCACACAAAACCTCACACCTACATTCTTCCCTCCTCATTTCTTCTTGAAGACAAGGCAGTGAAATATGAAGAGATGCATTATTTTGTTATAAACAATTATACACAGAGAAAATGGAGACAACATACAGCCTAAGAAATCATGATTTACTAAACCTTGTAATAACCACCCAGCTCATTGCCATCAACCCAGATCCCATTCCCTTTCATAAGTCCTTCCCCCTAAAGCAACAACTATCCTAACTTTATGGTAATTATTTCCTTATACATCTTTATAGTTTTATCATCTTGTTATACATCTCTAAACGCTATAGTTTTTGAACTTTCTATAAATGGAGTAGTGTAGCATGAATATTTTGTTGTGTGTCTGGCCTCTTCTTTCACTTGGTTATGTTTATGAGGTCATCTATTTTTGTTGCATATAGTTGTAGTTGGGGTCATTACAAATAATACTGCTAACAACATTCTTATATATACATATATTTCCTGGTGTGCAAGGGCAAGCTCTTCTTTAGTGTATATACCTTGGAGGGGAATTGCTAAGCTATAGGGTATACTTATATTTAACTTTATCAGATATTGCCAGACTGTTCTCCAAAGTGGTCATAAAGTTTACACTCCCACCAGAGATGTATGATAGTTCCACTTGTTCCACATCCTTTCCAAAACATAATATTGTTAGACTTCTTAATTTTTGTCAATCTGATGGCTGTGGAATGGTATCAGAATTGTAATCTTCTTTTTATATCCCTAGTGACTAATGAGGTTGTGCACTTTTACCTGTGTTTATAGGCTAATCGAATTTTCTGTTTTGTGAAATGCCTCTTCAGATCTTTATCTGAATCACAAGAATCCCTCAGGTTTCCCTTTTATAGCCACACCTGCTTCCCCTTGGCACCCCTTCCCATCCCTAACCCTTGGAAACCACTTGTCCGTTTATCATTTCTACAATTGTGTAATTTCAAAAATGTTACACAAATGAAATCATACAGTGTATAACCGTTTGGATTTTTTTCCTACTCAGCATAATTCTTTGGAGATTCATCCAGGTTTATTTATTGGGTGGTATGGATGTACAGGTTTTTGTGTAAATGTTAAGTTTTCATGTTGCTGACATAAATATCCAGGAGAGCAATCACTAGATTGTGTGGTAGTTGCATGCTTAGTTTTTTGGGGTTTTTTTTACATCTTTATTGGAGTATAATTGCTTTACAATGGTGTGTTAGTTTCTGCTTTATAACAAAGTGAATCAGTTATACATATACATATGTTCCCATATCTCTTCCCTCTTGTGTCTCCCTCCCTCCCACCCTCCCTATCCCACCCCTCCAGGCAGTCATGCTTAGTTTTTTTAAGACTGCCAACTTGTTTTGCAGAGTAGCTGTACCATTTTCCCATTCCACTAGCAATGTATAAGTGATCCCATTTCTCCATGTCCTTGCCAACATTTGGTGTTGTCGCTGTTGATAAGATTTTAGCCATTTTGATTGATCTGTAATGATAGCTCATGGTGGTTTTAATTTACATTCCCCTAGTGGCTAATGATGTTGAACATCTTTTCACATACTTATATGCCATCTATATTTCCATCTATATGTTCTCTTTGGTGAAATATCTATTTATATATTTTGGCCATTTTCTAAATGGATTGTTTGTTTTTTTATTGTTGAGTTTTGAGAGTTCTTTATGTATTCTAGTTCCTAGTCCTTTTGTGCATGTGTGGTTTGAAAATATTTTCCTCAGTCTGTAGCTCGTCTTTTCATCCTCTTTACATGAATACTTCTTTTCTTCCTTTGCAGAGGAAGTTTTAAATTTTGATAAGGTCTGATTTTTCAGTTTTTCCTATTATGCGTCTTGATTACTGTAGCTATATAATAAATCTTGAAATTGGGCAGGCTGATTCTGCCCATATTATTCTTCCTATTCAAAATCGTTTTAGATCTTCTAGTTCCTTTGACTTTCCATTTAAACTTTAGAATAATCTTCTCTATATCTACAAAGAACCTTGCTGATATTTTGATAAGAATTAGGGAGAGAGCATTCAGTCTTTTCATCATTAAGTATAAATTAGCTGTAGTTATCAACTTGACAAATTTGCCTTCTGTCCCTATTTTTGTGAAAGTTTTTGTCATAAATTGGTGTTGAACTTGGTCAAATACTTTTATATTGGTTTATATAACCATGTGATTTTTCTTTTTAGCCTATTAATGTGGTGACTTACATTGACTGATTTTTAAAATTTGAACCAGCCTTGTGTCCCTGGAGTAAAACCCACTTGGTTATGGTATATAATTCTCCTTATGTGTTGCTAAATTCTATTTGCTAATATTTTCTTAAGCACATTTGTGTCTATATTCATGAGAGGCATTGGTCTGTAGTTTTCTTTCTTTATACTGTCTTTGTCTGATTTTTGGTATCAGGGTAATACTGGCTTCATAAAATGAATTGGGAAGTGTTTCCTCCTATTCTGTTTTCTGGAAGCGGTGATGTAGGTTTGATGTTGAGTCTTCTTCAGATGCTTGTAGAATTCTCCAGTGAAACTATCTGAGGCTGGAGATTTCTTTTTTGGAAGTTTTTAAATTACAGATTTAATTTCCTTATAGGGCTGTTAAAATTGTCTGCTTCAGATTGGATGAGATGTGGTACTTTGCATTTTTCAAAGAACTGACATTTCATCAAAGTTGTCAAATTTATGTGTGTAGAGTTGTTCACTGTGTTCCCTTGGTATCTTTTTGATGTCTGCAGGGTCTGTAGTATATTCCCTGTTTCATTCTTGAAATATTGGTAATTTGTGTTATCTCGTTTTTTCTTTGTCAGTCTTGCTAAAGGTTTGTTGATTTTATTGATTCTTTCAAAGAAACAGCTCTTCATTTACTGATTTTCTCTATTGTTTTTCTGTTTTCAGTTTTATTTAGTTCTAATCTTGTCTCCCTTCTTCTTCCTTTAGGTTTATTTTGCTCTTTTTTCTTAGGTTCTTGAAGTGGAAACTTAAGATTATTGATTGGAGACTTTCTTCTTTTCTAATACATGCATTTAGTGAAATGAATTTCTTCTCAGCACAGTTTTCACAGGGTCCCACAAATTTTGATATGTTGTATTTTCACTTTCATTTGATTCAATTTGTTGTTTTTCTTTAACTTCCCTTAAGACTTCCTTTTTGATCAAATGGTTATTTAGCAGTGTGTTGTTTGGTTTACACATGTTTGGAGATTTCCTGTTATCTTTCTGTTATTGATTTCTACTTTGATTCCATTGTGGTTAGCCTTCTCTCCACTTTTTCTGTCCTGGCTAGAACCTCTAGTGAAATTTTTAATAGCAGTGGAAATAGCAGACCTCCTTGTCTTGTTCTTGATCTTAAGGGGGAAAGCATTCAGTCTTTCACCATTAAGTATGTTAGCTGTGGATTTTTCCATAAATGTCCTTTATCAGGTTGAAGAAGGTACATTTTAATCCTCGTTTGTTGAGTGTTTTTTATTTTAAAAAAGGGTGTTGGATTTTATCAAATGCTTTCTACATCTATTGACGTGATCAAGTGGTTTCAGCTTTCATTCTGTTCAAATGGTGTATTATATTCATTGATTTTTGGATTTTAAAACAACCTTGCATTCCTAGGCTAAATCTCACTTGGTCCTGGTGTATGATCCATTTTTATGTTGCTGGATTTGATTTGCTAATATTTTGTTGCAGAGTTTTGCATCTATATTCAT